CATAGTTGTTCTCTGTAAAAGTTAGTTTTAGTAAAGTTAGGAACATTGCAAACATTTTATTCTAAGCTGGTTGGAAAAACCAACTTAGAGGTTGGCTGGATTAAACCAACACCCTTCCTAAGCCCAGGATAAGGATCTAGGCTGCAGGACGTTTGGTCGGAATAACCAAACATTTTACTTTAGGTTGGCTGGAAAAACCAATCTAAAGGTTGGCTAGATTAAACCAACACCCTTCCTAAGCCTAGGATAAGGATCTAGGCTGTAGGACGTTTGGTCGGAATAACCAAGCACTTTACTTTCGGTTGGCTGGAAAAACCGATCTAAAGGTTGGCTGGATGAAACCAACACTTGGTACTCTTTAACCGAAGTAAAAACATCGGCTAAAAGAGTGGTTGGCTGGATTAAACCAACTCTTATTACTCTTCAGCCGAAATAAGGGTATAAGCTGAAGAATGGTTGGCTGGATTAAACCAACTCTTATTACTCTTCAGCCGAAATAAGGGTATATGCTGAAGAATGGTTGACTGGATTAAACCACTCTTGGTACTCTTCAGCCGAAGTACGCATATCGGCTAAAGAATGGTTGGCTAGTAAGGCCAGTTGGCACAGGTAAGACCGAAATAACGTATCTCGACCGAAAAGTAGTATGCTTCAAGTTACAGTTAGAAAACATGCTCAAACAGGAAAGTAAACCAAGATTACAGTTGGAGCAATAAAAGTCATTAAAAAAGTCATTACAGGCACAAGCATACAGATCAAACCGGAATAACAGTTAGCACAAAAGAAGATGATTTTCATTGATCAAAGTTCAGAGCAATTACAAGGGAAGGGCTCCCAGCCCGGTTACAAGTCAAAGCAAAACAAAGAAAAAGAAAAAAAAATACAAATTAATTAAAAAGGTCTTCAAGATCGGCTTCAATATCAACCTGAACACCAGTTGCAGATGGAAGATCAGTCTCAGTAGTAACTGGCAGCACGGTGTCAGTCGGTGGCTCAACAGTTAGGTCTTCAAACGTTGGCTCCAACCGAGCTGGTTGACCATTGCCTTGCTTGTTGACTACCGGAGTGTCAGTTGGCTCGTTCTCTTTATCATCGTCGTCGGGCGCTTCAAGGAATTGCTTCTGTAGATCGGCTGCATACTCCGCCAGTGTGGCCGGAATAAAATACTGAGGAGCATTGAAGACCTCGATGTCAGGACCGCAACCGAGCTGCTCCACGGCACCCCTCCAGCCGCACTTGAAGAACAAGTCCTTCGCAGCTTCACACTGTTGGATATATGCAGCTTCGCCTTCCTTGAAGCCCTTCATCTCGGCATCTTCAGCTTTCTTCTTTAAAACGTTTATTTCGGCGTCCTTGACACCCTCAAGTTTCGCCAGTTCCCGCAAATACTTATCTTTCATCTCGGTTAGGGCTCTCTGTCTGACAGCATCGGCCGAAGCAACTAGGCCGGTCAGACGAGTCACCTCGGCCTCCAGCTCGGCCGTCCTCACTTGTTCTTGTTTGAGCTCGGCGGTTTTGGCTTCGGCCTCTGCCATGGCCTCCCTTGATGTTCTCCCGAGCTCCAACCTGTCACCAACTCAATGTCCACCCATCCGCCAGACCAATCATCCAACGCACACGCAGATCGGCACTCCACCATGCCGAGATAGTGGCGGAAGAAGTAGGTAACCTGCTGGAGGCAGGAGCAATTAGAGAAGTGCACTACCCAAGATGGATCTCTAAAACGGAGTTGCCCAAATCATCCGATTTGCGGATCATGCTGGAAGAAAAGGCACGATGGAAGGGGGACACCAAGGCGCGCGACCCTCGCTGAGTTTCTGCCCTTCAACGATTGGCTCCTCGATCGCA